TTTGTCGCTACAAGAAATAAAACAAACATTTGTATGATTGTATTTAGCTTTTAGTCTATTTCACGCAGCCTTCTTCTATCTTCGTGAAATAATTCCCCCCCCCTGTCACGTCCCTGTTACTTTGTCACGCGATATTTGTACGGAATGTTTTGAAAGACTCGTGAGCAAGATCTTACAGGGTGATAAAATGCTGCATTTCGCATATTTCATATGTATTTTTATTTAATACCCTTAACAAAGGGTTAAATTTGTTATTTGTGCAATGGATATGGCGTGAATGGAAGAGTAACAAGGCCGAATTGTTGACAACCGACATGTGATGACAAAATGGCGCCGAATTTGGACAAAGTTGTGGATTTACCTTGTCGATGGTTAAACAGGTATGATTTACTTGAAACCAAGTTGAAACTTGTTTAAAATGTTCTTGATACCATTATGTCTGAGATGATTTACATTTTTTGTAGGATGTCGACGAGATCGCTGATAAACAGCGGAGTAAAGTGGAGAACTTGGCCAAATACGTCCATTTGCAGGAGGTAGGCACATTTCAAATTATTATTTCGGTCAGAAAATATTAACTATTTACACCAAACCAGTGATAATATATTTAAATAAGTACCAATTATGTTTCTATCAAAAAGATTTAGGGAAAAAGGTAATGTAAGTCCACTGCTGTTTATCTGAAGTTGCAAGCCACAAATTGACGTTTAACTATGATTATTATACATTGTAGTTGGTAAAAGCAATTTGATTGGCTAAGAGCTTACAGTTAAATCGCGCAATCACGCAACCTACACAAAATTCAGTTAGGGAGCATTCATAATTTATGTGGTGAGGGGCTATGAGGATTTTGCATATTAGGAAAAATTTTTTAGGCAACCCCCCCTCCACACCTAGCAAATTTTTTGGTGACCCCCCCCCCAAACAACAGACATTTAGTAGATAGAAATTTTCATGACCCCCCCACCACCACCAAAAAAAATCTATTCCACATTAATTAACTATTTGTTCTCATTGTTTCATGTTGTGCTTGTTCGAGAGTATTAATTATGTCAAAATTTTTTCAAACTGCTCAGTTTTGATATTAATAAATTTAAAAAATATTCACAAGCACAACACTTTATGTACCTGCCTGTCAAAAAATAATCCTTTAATATAAACCTTAACTGAAATATACTGTGCAAGTTGCAAATAACTTTTTTAATAATACCAACAAATGATAACATAACTGTCACGGTAAGTTTTGTCCTAACTGCCTTCATACCACTGCATGAGTGTTTCCCAACCTGACTCTTCTAACAAGTCACCCTTCAACTTATCAAAAACTTCAATTAACAATGCATTTTTTGTTAGTCCTTCTAGGTTATCACAGTTAATGTCATTAGCACCTAACTGAAAGGCTCCTGTTATAGATGGACTGTACAAATTATCACAGACAATAGGTGCTCCCAGTCTTTTTGCAACATCCAAAGAGAGTCGCTCAAGTCTTTGTCTCTAGAAAAAGCCAAGAAAATTCAAGTTTTATATAAAACACCCCCCTCCCATTTTTGGCTTATAGTTTTGGAAAACAAATGTTGAAAAATTCCAGTGCAATACCTTTCTAGCTTGGGCATGATGCTTATTCTCCTTTTTACGTCTCTTCTTTCTTTGCTCTTCACCGTCCAAAATATCACCACCTGAATCCTTATCCTTCATTAGAGAAAGTGTAGTGGACAGCTTGGATGTTGCAGTTTCAATTGTCTCTATTTTTAAGTTTTGATATTGACAATAAATTTTCAAACATATTATAAATGAATCATTAATGTTGATAGCAACAGCATAAAGTATGACATCTATACATGTGTAGTTTATTTACCTCTCAGCCTGTCACACTGAAGCATTGCATCACAGTTGTATGGTTCTTGCTCAACTGAAGCCCACTTCTTGATAATTCCATCTTCCAACATGAAAAGTCTTTCCTTTCTGTCTTTCTTAAGTATTTCTTTTTGTTCCAAAACAAGGTCTCGTTGTTTTAGGAGCTCTGACAGGCTTTTCTGAACTACACTTGCATCATGCTTGTCGAACTTTGGAGGCAAAGAAAAATATCGCTTGGCATCACAACCACCAGTCCCTCCTGTTGGTGTGTTTACAATGCCCTCATAAGCATGTTGTATCCTTTCCATCGCACTGCGAAACTCCCATCGTGATTTTCTTTCCGATTTAAAGTATTTTACAAATCGACTTTGTAGGTGAACATAACACGCATTAAATAACTTGCAAAACAGTGAATTAAAGAATTTGTGTTTGTCTGTTACCGGGTTTGGGATGATAAGATTTTCCTGCTCGAACTTCTTCCGTAACTGCATTGTCATTTTTACTCCTCCTAGATCAACTTCTGTTTCTTGTGACCCTCTCACGTCCTTTTCAGGAGCCAAAATACTTTTATCATATAAATTCGGAGGAAGGCGCCATTCATTGATTTCTAGTTCTTTAAGACCTGACAAAAACCTTCGCTTTTCCGCCTTCTTAAGTGGCAAACTGCATAGGTCTTCGTCGATATGAAAATCCTTTAGGTGCTGAATCTTATAAAAGCCTTCTGCTTTTAGTATTGCTAGAATATCCGCCTTGGAATCAACATCGATATCCAGCGTTTGAAACCAAATTATAAACTGTTGTTCTTCTGTTGCATCCGCCATCTTTATACTTTATTTCATTTTAATACCGCTGACCACGCTGCAGTTGGTTTGCAAACACTTGAATTGTTTTGTGAAAAAGGACTAAAGGAGAAAAACTGATATATTCATAAAGAACAAAGTCTGCCGATGTAACGTTTTATAAATAGGAGTTTATGGTAATGTTTTTAACACTAAATATGTATTAATGAAGTGTAAATGTTTCTTGACCTTTCTTTTGTTAATGTTTCTTGACCTTTCTTTTTTGCTTGTGAGTTATGGCTTTTGTCAGAAAAAAATCACCGCTAGGCGCTACGCCGTTTACGTTTATATTTTGAACAAAAAGTGTGAATATTAAAAGTGTGTGTATATTTATTCCCCACTTTTGCAGCTCGTAATACGATGGATACTGAGGTTTCTCAAGAACACCATGGTCGTACCAGTCAATGTACCAAGTCGACTCGAAATCTTATTAGGGATAAAATAATTAATCAATCAAAAGAGTGGTCACCGTATGTGTTAGAATCACAGCAAACTTGTAGCTTGTCGGATAATTTATCGATATTACAGGGAAGAGAAACTGTGTTCAATGATCCAAGAAGAAAGGAAAAACTACGAGGTCTTCAAGCCATTCTACAGGAAATGCTACTAGAAGAACCTTTTGATGTGAATAATCAGAAAAAAGTTGGCTTCATGGCATTTGACGATGCATTTGCTCTTTATATGGGATTTCAGTCCACTCAAGACTTTTCTCATCAAGCAAAGTATAATTTTCAGTGCGCTATACTACATCCAAATACTGGATTATGTGTCAATATTTTAGTTATTCCAGGCTCACGTGAAAAGGTTATTATATTGTGTCCAGATCGCTCCCTAGATTTTACTTTCCTGTATGATTTTCTGGTAAAACATTTCTATAGTGATAGAAAAGAGGAATTTACCAAAGAGGAAATTGATATTGTTTTGGACAGTGTGACATCAGAATGGGACAAGCAAGTAGTAAAGTATATACTATGTCGAACAAGAACAGCTGAAGAAATGAAGCTACTAGGCGTCAAACAAGAGACAACGGAAAAAATCAGAGACCGTGTTCCACTCGTTTTGGAGGAAGTAAGACATTCAAGTGCCGTCGTTAATAACGAGGTCAGTGAAAATATAAGCAATAAGATCGAGAAACTGGAGTCCAAAATACAGGCGAAAAAGAAACTCTTGTTAAGAAAGTCAAAAAGCTGGACAAAAGTGCGACAAGATGAGCTACAGGATGAAATCGAAGCGTGTGAAGATCGTGTGAAGGAGCTACAGGACTTGCAGGTTGGAAAGAGCAAATCTCATAGACAACGTCTGCAGCAGATGCGAAGGAGACGTGCAAAACGACATCTTTTAATGAACAGAGTAGGTAAAAGGAAATTAGGAGGCCAGGGTCGCAAACCTTTGATCGATAGTGACACAGAGGAACAAATTGCTAAAGCAATTGAAGATAAAGCGACGTACCATGGAAGACGACACAACACCACAATGTATACCAATCGTCGCGTCAAAGTAGCTGACCTTCCTTTAATTGCTAATCATTTTTTGTCTCAGAAGGGCAAACGTCTTGTTCGATCAAAAACAACGGTGTGGAATCGTTCTGAGCCTAGGCGCAAAAACTCGCGTCAAGCGAAATTGCATTTGGGCAAGGGATACTTTTGCACTAGAAAACCCCCCAAAACAGAGTCTTCGGAAAATGAAAGTACCCATCATCAGCGAGCGCACGTCAACAATGTCAAAATGTTTTTTTTCTCCAATAAAATGGCCAGAAACCGAAAGTACTGTTTTTGCCGCTCAATCGATGACAAGGCATACATTCGCCCTGGCACAGGTGAAGCCATGAACAATGCCAGAAACCAGCGTATATTAACCCCCAGTGCAGAAGAACGAGCCCGCAAGTTACCATTGCATGATTGGCCAGAACAAAAAGTCAATATAACTCCCTCTGCACATCGAATTTTTACTAAAGTCGGTCAGGATATTGATGGAAGTGAGAAATTAATAACTGAAGAGGATGAACACTGCGTAAGTTTTACGTTGGTTCAAGCGGTACTGTGTGGGCGAATGAAACGATGAGACTCAGATACCTATATCCCGATATTTTTGAAGTTAAGGAAGACGCCAACGGTGAAGAGAAATATCATCCTTCATTTCGTTCAATCTGCGCACAACTTCATGACGCCGCCTTTTTGTTTATGGACATGTCTGAACAAAAGGACATAGAGCGTGCAAAGGCTGGTGATCGAGATAATCCTCACACCCAATACGAACGAAAGAGACTAACCAGATTAAAAGCTAGAATTCAGGAAGCCCTTGACGATAATTTTGAACAGATTGACAATGTTGGAAAGACTGTGTTTGCAGCCAGAGTTCAGCCACTGGTGCAAGACTTAACTTCAGCGTTAACCGAAGTGGATCGATATATTGAGGATCCTAGAGAAAGCTGTTCTCTATTAGAAAAAATACAGTTTTGTGTATATTGTTGTAGAAAGCTACTGGATTGTTTGGAAGAACTGGAACTTCCCCCAATAAAGCCTCGATGGTGTGATCTCACAGATGCGGGACCAGGAGTTGGAGTCAGCAATTTAGAAGTTAGATTTCGAGATGCTGAAATGGCCAGGATATGGAACTCAGATTATCGGATAAGAGTTCATCGTGCGCGCGAGGATAGCGGGCAGGGAGAAGCTGAAAGAACCAACGCAGCAGTCGGTGATGCAGTCATAGACGGAGGCACTATCAAGTGGGATTACTTCCAAAGGTTTGACGACCTAAGTGACGAGGAAGTTCAAAATATGACGCTCTCGTCATATGAGCAATATGAAGATAATCGAATGGAACGAAATGCCTGGAGGGTTTCTCAAGACATTGCCTCACGGATAGATGATGCACCAGTTCTATCTAGTTACATAAAATCTTTGGTAACTGAAAAGGAACAGGACTCCTTTTTCTTCAATAAAGATCAGTTACAGGAGTTTGGGAGAGCCTCAGATGTCCAAAAACAGAATGTGACTGGCTACCATTATTTCTCCAAAATCTCAGGATATATTGATAGTCACTACGAAAAGGGAGAACTGTATATGGAATTTTTGAAAGATGGCTGCACGAGAGACGCAGGGAAACCTTGCACAACTTGTAGTTCAGGATGGATCGGTCCAGTGCTGGAAAGAATTCCTCGGCCATTCCCCGACGAAACAACTTTCAAGTACAAGTCTGTATTTGAATCCCCAGGAAGTTCGGCTGAGGATGAACCAAGACCTCCCGATGATTTTTTGCCAAGGGTGCAAATAAAGAGCTGGTTTGGTCAGGGAAACCTCGACTCAGAGGAAAAGATTGCGGAATTTTCAAAATGGTTCATCGTACCATCAGAGCTGGTGAAGTCATATATAGATCACTTGAAACATTTAAACTATACCAAGCAACTCAGAAGTGTGGCAGCTGAACAGGAACGTCAAAGAAGAAAAGACAAAAAGTATGAGGAGTACAACTGGGAAGAACTTCTTTTGACCGGCGGCCTTTAAATTGCTCTATGTATTTGAACTAGATAAATAGCTTAAACATCACTTGTTACTGTGGGGACGCAAACTGAAAGAAGAGAAGGTGTTGATCATCACAGCCCATGTTCACAAGAGCAAGGATTCAAGTCTAGAAGAAGTCGTTGTTACTGGAAAAGCTCTCCTTCGTCCGGTAGAAAACCCCGCTGATTCGGAAGAGTCAGAGAGTGAGGAGGAAATCTTGTTTGAAACGAGCAGTTATCCTGGATGTGAAAGCACTAGTTGTAGTAGCCAGAGCAGTGCCAGTGGCGATGAGAGTGAAAGTGATGTAGACTTACCTATCAGGATACCCACAAACACAAGAAGTGGACGAAAATCAACACGTTTTTTATTCTAAGACTATTTTAAAGTTTTCTGTTTTCGAAGACATGAATTCGCATGCAAACGCCTTCCTCCACGTGTCCGAGGATATAATATACTTGATTTGAAACAAACAAATATGATCTACTTTGATATATATGTATATGTATATAGAGGGCCACAAATTTATCAATAGAATAGTGTTGCACCACTGTTGAGTAACGTCCCTTTTGAAAATAAAATCCATTGTGTTTACCTGATCATATAACTATGTTATATTTGTTACATTCATATTTTTTGCGACTTTTTCGACAAAATATTTCACAAGACTTTATTTTTGCGATCTTGACACGAAACAATAAAACAAAGATTAAAGTGGAAAAGGATTAAGACAGTATAAATCATTCATAGTCGGAAGTCTTTAATTTCGCGATTTTTTGCAATCAAGAAAATTACGAAATTAAGTGCGAACATTGTAGCGTTTCTTGATGACCCCCCGTCCGGATTCTTAACTTATTATCTACAGCCCCCCTAACGATTACAGATAAAAATAGCTGACCCCCCCGTGAAATCCTCATAGCCCCCCCACACATAAATTATGAACGCTCCCTTATAGACTTTGATTTTTTATGCGGACCTTAAATTGACATTTTGAAGTCCCTTATTGTGCCCTTATATAGGATGATTTTCTAGATAAAGTTTTACAACTGTACAATTTATAAGAATTCCGAATTTCAATGTACTGCATTTGTAGTGAGCCCAAAAAAATTCACGGAAAGGAAAAATATAATTAATCCATATTTATGGTTGAACTGTGTCTAAATAATTTTATGCTTTATTTTCTTTTACCTACGCATAATTGAAGGAGGCGATTCTGTTATTAAGTTCATCCAAAGTAAACGTTTTCTGCTCTAAAATGTAAAACTTCAACAGCTCTTTGGTATGATACTGCAACACTCCTTCTAGGACATCATGCATAGCATCAGCAGGCAGTCCACCAACAACATGATAATACCTTGAGTTGTTCAATGAAGACCTCCTATTCAAGCCATATGCCATACTGAAATAATCTGCTTGAACAAGAAGTCTGCAGTGAACCTCGTAGCCATCCTTTGTTCGTAGGGTAAAGTCTGATTCATGAAACTATAAATTTAAGTTATACACAGTTATAAATTTAAGTTATACACAGAAATGGGATTTCTAGCATATCCAGCATAATAAAAACTGGAACGCATAATTCTGTTCTTTGTGAATTGATTGTCAAAAGTCAAAAAGAAGCATATAATTGTCCAATAATTTTGTGTAAGAATCACAAATTCAAAAATATGTTATTAAATGCCTACTTCAGATTTCAGTAGATGCCTAAGTACTATATACTGTACCTTGGTTTGAATTTGCTCGGCAAGTCCCATGCATTCTCTGCATTTTTGGTGTGCTTGAGATCCCTCCTTAAAGCCACCTAATAGTTGTGATCCAAGATTATCTCCAGAGGAATATGCAATAGTCCCTCTGAAGAAACTCTTTGTACCATGTACATCAAATTCAACACCAGTGTCCTAAAATAAATTTTAAGATAAAATCAGCTGAATGTTATCATTAACACTTATATACTTGGCTTATTAAAATGTAGATTACCACTGGCAGATACAGTACCTCAAGTTGTCTGATGTCCTTCATGATAACTTCAAGGATGGATTCGACACCATATTTCTTGAGATGCTGGCTGTTGACAATGGCGATCAGTTGAATTGCACTCAGACTTGATCGTTTCTCAGGTGAAATGTTGCCCAGGGTGTAGTAGAAGTTGCCTGAATTATGAAGGTAAATACATTGTTTAAATATTCTGTAAAATTGACATATTTTTTAAGTTCTTATGGACCATTTTTTAAGCCATCAATGTCCCTAATTTTATGCTGCAAAACTACTAAGAGCACCATGTTTCATAATACTTTATCTAACACCAGAAAATATTGTTACAGGCAGACCATGCATCTGGGGACAGTTGTTCAAAGCTAGGTTAAAACTAATCCTGGGTTAAAACTTAACCCTACGTTTTAGTTTGTGTGTTTCTGCACACCTGTTTACTTCGAAAGTGTAAAGAAGAAAACTCTCATTAATCCAAACAAGATTTCTGAAGAAATATTTCTGAATTCACATACAAACTGTGGGAAAATTTAGTTTGAATTTTAAAGGACATTGGCACCCAAAATTTTTATTACTTATATCTCTTAGGTATACTTGCGGAATATTTAATTTCATATTTTGGCCGGTTTGTCGCGTTTAGTTGTTGAGAAAATTTGATAGAAAGTTCAACAGTTATCCGCCATTTTGAAAATAAGCGCGTATGCTAATTTATGCCTCAAAATACATTATCTGACGTCATTGGCTGGGTAAAAACAATTTCATGACTATAAACACAGTGTTATAAACAATACTGAGTATTTCACATGATTGAATTACCACGTCCCCTGAACAGAAATTGCCCACTGAAGTCTATCAAAAACACGAATTTCGAAATAGTTAGTAAAATAGTAAATGATTTAAATTTTAAATAATAGATAGAAAGTCAAGCAAACATGTTTATAGTACAAACTATTGTATTCAACTATTGTATTCAACTATTGTTTTCTCAGTCCTAGACCAGTTTGTGTCCCCTAGGAATTTGCCAAATGTCCCCTCTCGGGGACATGTCCCCCAAGTTGAAAACCGTTGGTGTAGACTTATCTTGTTTGATTGCGAAGAGTGTTGGTCAGTATAACGCTCAAAACGACATATTTTTAGCTAACATAACACGTACGCAAATATAGAATTCTCTCTTGTAGTTTTAGTGCTACCCATCCAATGACGTCACTCAGGTATGTTAATGCCTGGGTCTGCCCACGCTTGGATAATATCTTGCGCGCGTATTGCACGCGTGATCTGTCAGTAATGCGTCTGTTAGAATATGCGCCCCTTGTGTGAGTATTTTAGTGAATTTGGGCGTTTGCTTCAAATCAAAATATAGTATATATGAGCGACAGGATTATTTTGGAATATACAATGCAAAGAAGTCGGTATACTATTCAGTTTTTATGTAATAATTGGCTATTTGTATAGCAATAAGTATTGTTTCATTTGCGACAGCTGACCTTTGAACTGCTGATAAATAAAAGCTTCTTATAGTGCGCTATCTTGCGATTATTCAGTATTAATTGTTGATTGTTTCTTATTTTCAATGAAAAATTGCTTGTGGATTATAAATTCATTATAGCACGTACAGTTTAGTCGGTCTTTTCCACCATGGCATGATTCCCTTCAAGCATTAACCATGTTTCAAGATATCGACTTGTATGCGCAATGAATGTTGTTATTGGAAATATAATATCCCTTACAATAAGTGGCAGACTGTTTCATTATGGCGCGTGAAGTTCATCACGCGAAAAACGCGTTCGACTTGCAGCAGGGTAATTTGACGAAATTTTGCTATTTTTATTAGCTAAAAACATTAACAAGGGAACAAAGTTTCCTGCTTTAATTCGGAAATCGTACATTTATTTGTAGATAACATTTAATGACGCGTTTAACATTCGTTTGATGCCGATCGTCGTAATATAGCCGCATAAAATGAAACGAAGCCTAAATGTAAACTTTCCAGATTCATTCAATAAACAGTGATATCATGTGTGAATGATTATCGCAATTCTGCGTCCTCTCAGTAACGAATTATACTGCTGCAGAGCCTCTGAATAAAACGTATCAATTTTTGTGTTGTTTTTCGAAATATACATCACGTGATCGTTGCCATGACAAAAAAAAGTATGTCAATTTTTAGAATCTCCTTTGATAAATCATATAAAACTTGAATGGTAATAATCAAGGCCATACTTATTTTTTTATGATTTTTTGTCTATTTTCGCTAAATACACAAACTGAGACCCAGGCATTAACATACCTGAGCACAAAGTTCATTGACCTTCGAGATAATTTGTCAAAAAATATTTCCAAGATGGCGGCGAAACACAAAGTTTGCATGCATTTTACTCGTAGATTAAAATGTTTGAGAACGAAATGATAATATTTTCATAATTAGGTCGTCAAGTAGGATTGAAATAGCCAATAAAAATTTTCGGTGCCATTCTCCTTTAAGTTAACCCAGTGTTAAACTAACCGGCTTTTGAACAATTGGCCCCTCTGGATGGTTAATCTGGTTTACCTATTTTATGTGTGTTTGCCCGAGACCTGAGGGGGTTGCATACTTCTAACTCGTCAAAAAATAGGATTATTTGAAGAGCATGCCTATAGTGAAAAGAAAATTTGTAATGTTGCAGGAAATGTATGGTGTTTCTCAGAATTGAGACAAGTATACAGTCCAATATTCTGTTGTGCAAGAAAGGCTATAAAACCATACATACCTATCCTCACTAAATAGTGGATGTGCTTGAAATTCTTCCCCATCACAATAGTCACCCAGCAAGCCATCATCACGGTTGTGCGGGTTGTCAATCTGAATATTTAGATTACAATGGTTGAACAACATTGAATTAAATTGAAAATCAACAAATTGATAAAGAAATTGTAACCTCTTCAACAACAGCATCATTTGTTAAAAGCTGTTCAATGCTTTTAAGGATTGGGACATAATAGGCCTTATCCTCTTTTTCAACATCCACAAGTTTGCTGCCTTTTCTAGTCTTTTTGTGGTATCGACCCAGAACAATCTTTTCTGGCTCCTGTATATATAATGTAAAGGATAGATGAATCAAAACAATAGTACTATCAACATAATAAATGTATGCCACAATGTTTTCACTATATGGCAGAAAAATGTAAGCAAAGCAATAATATGTCACGTAAGGTTATATACAGTAGAGAGTTTTAGCTTGACGTTTACGGCAAACGTCAAACCGCTAACAAAGTTTTTGATTTTACCATTCTGTTATAACAGCTTTTACACCAATTTTGAAATGTAAACAATTATTAAACTTGTGCTCTTTAGCAATGATTTAAAAGAAAGCAAATTAATCACTAGTCACGTATTCGCAAATGCAGTAAATTAAGATTTGGCGTTTGAAGTATACGTTTGCCGTATAAATTTCATGCTTTAACGACTATACAAGCCCTCATAGCAGTTCAAGCATGATATTTATACGCTAAACGTAAACTTCAAATGCCAAATCTTAATTTACTGCTTTCGCGAATACGTGACTAGTGGTTAATTTGCTTTCTTTTAAATCATTGCTAAAGAGCACAAGTTTAATAATTGTTTACATTTCAAAATTGGTGTAAAAGCTGTTATAACAGAGTTGTAAAATCAAAAACTTCATTAACGGTTTGACGTTTGCCGTAAAAGTCAAGCTAAAACTCTCTATTATACAGTATATAAGGCTGTTACTGTATATATATATATTAAATTAAGTAACAATATGGTGAAATGGGGTTAAAATTATCATGCATGATCATGGTATAAAATTTTAGGCATTAGTTTTTTCAGCCATTTATGTACAGTTCTAATGTACATGGAATCTTTGTTGTCAAAGATTATTCTGTTGTGTAAAGGCATAAGATAATATTTCATTACACTTACCACCATTCCTAAATTGTTTTTGTAGTATTGTAATTGGGAAGCTTCGTTGTGGCATCCCTGGAATGGTTTCCGTATACTACTAGACTCTTCGAAGAGCTCTGCAATACCAGGGATATCATCAAGTTGCAAACCAGCGTTTTGCAAACATTGTAATGTTGTACCCCAGAGTGCAGAACGTCAACACTATTTTCGACAACCTGGGTGGTACTGCTGACAATTGATTCGACCACTGTCTGAGGTACCTTCACTTCGTCCTTGATCTTCAGGAGCCTCAGAACATTTGAGCGCCTGCACTGCTCCACCTCGCGTTCAAAATCAAAACAGTCGTTGCCATCTCCCTCGTCGTTATTGGCCCTGTCATCGACATGATGATCGGCTGGTGGTTCTGCCTTTCCCTTTCAAGAATTGCGGAATGCTTCTGAACGAAGTGGCTTCTCAACGTATAAAAATTTTTGTATGTCCTTGGGCATCCGTCGATACCCGCAAAGAACATGGAAACTGCGGTCGTTTTGGTGCACACGACCGAGGTGTGATATTAAACCACGAAGAGTTAAAGAAGTATAGTGAACACACAAGTTACAACGGTAGACCATTTTCAAGTAGTCCAACTCTTAACCTACGTTGTCTCGTTAACTTGTGCCTTGGCCTTAGGAATCTTGACCTTGAATTTGTAGTTGAACTTGGCCCTAAACAATTGACTATGGGTAGGGTGGGCCAGTACAGATTCCTCCCAAAATATTGGGGAGTCGGGACATACAGTAGAAATTAGTAGAAGTACTGTAATGCAAAAAATAGATTTTTTCCTATATTTAAATTTTTTGTATTTCTATTTGACACATGTTACCGAGAGACACTTAACGATACTCTAGCTAACGATACTCTAGCTGTCCTAAGGGTATGTACCTGGGTGGAAATTTGCATGTCACATGATCTACAGTGAGCACGTCTTCGACTTTCTTTCTTCAGTTCTAAAACTTACCCCCAGCATTTAAAAAGCTTATTTTTCGACGTTATGGAACAGCGTTTGCTAGAAGCGTTGACAAATAATGGTGCCAAGGATGAGACCATACAAATTCTGATAGAAGATGAGGTAATTGAACGCATTTTAACTTAATTTTTTCGTGGTTTTATTTTCCCGCCAAAGCCAAAACTATTTTTATCCGGGCAAACATGACACTTTAAAACATGTTTAAAGTATGGGAAAGTACAAAATAAGGTCTGGTATTTTAGTATATTTTCATTTTTCTTGTTACCTGACGGTTATTTAAGTGTTTTATCAAGAGCATGTATATTCACTCTACGGACGAATGCCTTACTGATTAGACTGTATTGTCGTTTGCACTTGGTATGATACCGGCTTTAGTGGGTCGATAAAAGAACATAACTTTAGTGTCCAGTAGAATTAAACATCTATAAGGTTATGGGTTTCCGACAAAATCCAGCATTCTGTGCAACAGGAGATTAGGAAGGGAATTTCGGATTTTTGGGCTCCCTAGACTTGATTTCTTGCAATTTCAGCATTATTTTTACACATTTTCATACAAAAAGGGACTTTCACTAGGAGACCAAACTCCTCCAGTTGGGGGGGGGGGGCAACACAGGGGCTGGGGGGGGGGCTTTGGCCCCTCCAGTATATATGTTAAAAAAGGCCCTGTAGAATTATTATACAACTTTTCAGGCAACCCAATCCGCACGTTGTAACCCAGTAAAATGATTGTCTTAGACTTAGGGTTAGGGGTAATAAACTGCAAACGTGGGCCAGTGTAGGTAGCGGATCACAACAACGAACAGCAGCAAGGGTTATACTCACTACCTAAACGATACAATAAGATTTGACCTTTCGAGCGAAGGGCCTTCGCGCGAAACGTCGAACCTTATTGTACCGTTTAGGTAGTGAGTAAAACCCTTGCTGCTGTTTGTTAGGGGTAATAAGTCTAGGTTATAACGTAAGTACATGCAGGAAAGCGTCTCGTGATCATGTCTTTAAGTGTACGTCTTCTGCGTAAATTCAATGGACAATATATAAATTGTGTATTATATAGCAATATAAAATTTGTATTATATTATACATGTTGCTGGAATGTTTGTTATTGAATGTCGGTTTTGAAAAAAAACAAAACTTTCAAAGATTCTCTCTAAAGGTGATTTTCCAGATATTTCGATTCACCATGCTGTTTTTAGGTTCAGGTTGACATATATTGAAGGTTGATATATCGAAAATCAACTGAACAAGTTGTTCAACTTGTAAAGGTATCATATGAAAAGTGTGGTCCACTATCTCCGTAAATTCTATATTTGAACTAGCTAGAGGTCACTCAAAGGCTGCATACCTCCGCCAGCAGCAAATTTTGCAGGCTCCTTTTTTGGTAGGGGCTATTTCAGATCCCTGAAGCACCTCTCGTTGCGTTGGCATGTAATTTTCACAAAATGAACTACTCCTAACCGTAGCAGTCTAACCCTAGTCCCTAAAACAACTTGAGAGGACAGCAAAAACGAACCCCGCAGCCCGGCGTCGCTTAGGTATTTCCCACGCAGCACCACTGCTGAACACGCCAACAGACAGCTAACTGAAAATCTTCAGAAACAAACCATTCTCAACGAAATTGAATAAAAATTTAATAGTCAAGTCTTCCTTTTGGCAGTGGCAAACACATGTGCAATATTTTAGGTCAAAATGTTAATTATTTCTTAACCCATTGAGTCGCATTGCACCCTGATGCACCCTACTTTAGTATTTTACTCTGTCTAACGCCAGACGATTTTACTCTGTCTAACGCCAGACGATTTTACTCGTCAAGGGGAGAGCGCTGGTGCTTAATGGGTTAACTGGCCTATCTGCCCTTGTGTCTAGTTAACCCAATGAGTCGTATTGCACCCTACTTTAGTATTTTACTCTGTCTAACGCCAGACGATTTTACTCTGTCTAATGCCAGACGATTTTACTCGCCAAGGGGAGAGCACTGGCGCTTAATGGGTTAAGTTATTGTGTTCACAGACCAACAAATGCACGCACACACAAACGAAGATGATTACATAAAAACCTGGCGGAAGAAATAATGAACTTATTGACGCTATGCATGATGCCCTCTGAGTCGCATGAAAACGAGGTTGGTATGTCAAAAGCCATTAGGTCTAGCTCATTTAAAAACTTCAAAACAAAGAATTTTGTTTTGAGTTGTTTCTTCATTATGTTGGCTTTGAAGACCACAAAAACAAATTTAAAGGTAAAAATTGACACACTTGCTTCTTTTTAAAGAGACTCGTTTCCAGGTCCCGAATGCAATCGAGGCATTATGGATAGCGTGTACATATATCACTTTAATTGCTACCTCCTGTTCAGGCACTATCTAACTTAATACACTTTTCGTATATTTTAACGGGTCTGTATTTTTAATGTCTTTTTAATGTCCTGTTGGGCTACTTAGTAAAATAAGGACCCATGTTAAGACAATTTCAAGAAATGTGCATTTTCACTCACTATATAGCTATTCACCAATCCGGCAAACACATGCAGAGGTGATATACTTTTTTAACACTCATTAACTATCGTACTGATGTATTTATAGTTGGAGGCAGTAGACATTCTGCAAGGAACAAGCGAAGAGCTGTTAAAAGCTTGTAATATAAAAGCAGGTCAGATCGTCCGGATCAGAAAGTCATTAAGTGGGTTCGCATCAATAACACCTCCCGAAACAGATTTGCAACCGGCGGAACCTTCGAATAGTGATGGCAGCGTCTTCTTCCGTGTGGTAAATGACTTCTCGGAGATGCAACAGATGAGCTTCAATGCTGAAATCGTGCCGGAGGTACCAGAAATCACGATACCGTCCAACGATGAATCCGCAATCAAGTGATACTTCACCTCCTGTTGCTTTCACAACCGAAGTTGTAACACCAAATGAGAAGTAGCCACTTCTTCATTTGAGTTACCAATAAAGGTACCATATATAAATAATTTATCCAAATCAGTTTTTTCCACAGAAATCGCCAGGAGCTATACAGTAGTAATAAAAAGAGCAATTTATTAATTTATTGTTCGAAGCGTTATAAACATGCATATTGTATGGAAAGCGGAAAAACAAGCATTGCACGATAATTTAAGAATGAACAAGACGTTTGTTCTCAGTTTTCAGTACGCCCAGAAAGCGTACAGCTGTTTAGTTTTGAACGACTATGCCTAGAAACAACACAGCCATTTACTTTTGATCGAGTACTCCTAGAATTCATAAATTCACGCATATTTGATCGTGTATGGTTAAAAAGGATGATTAGATTTTAACTTTTGTCGGACGCTCAGAGCTCATTCCACTTGCCAGACTAGTAAGATCGCTTCAGCTCGAGTAACGACACAAAGTACGACAGTGAAAAAATTCGGTTGTTGATTGCAGGCTCACAGGTTGTGACGCAGGCAAGTGAATTGGAGCAATTGATTGGCTGAGATCGACCAAGGCAGCGTGGGAGACTATGTTTTGCGCAAAAAAAGAACCCCGACTGAACTTATGACTCTCGCTTTAGTTCGAGTACAAAACTTACGTTAATGGTGTTCTTTCATTGCACAGGTGGCCTTGGCCTTTCTCTGTGAGGCCGGGATCATATGATTCTGTAAAGGGAATTGTACAAATAAGGGGTCATGTAAAAATGCACCTTCTGATAGCACGGGTGGCGGAAACGGTTAGCACTGAGTTAAGCCTGCTACACTGCAGGGTCATGCACACGGTGGTAATTAGGTGAAATACCTTAGTGATGTTGATTCCTAACTCATGTAAGTTGAGATTGCATGGTTCTCTCTGTGCTTCGATGATTTTCTCCGGGTACTCCGCTTTCCTCCCTCGCTAAAACTAACCACTTGGCACCCGCAGTAATAGGCAATTCCAGCTTTTAGTTTATATGTGCAGGGGATGATGGGAAGTAAGGTATCATATCACTGATTATGCTGAAAAAATAAAACTGGCGGTCGTGTAAACACAGTGACAGCTTATACTTGTAATTGTTACTGTAATTGTTAGATGTTGTTACCGCCAGTAATTTTTCTGGCATACAGCGTGCGGATCGGTGCAGGAAAGCATCTCGTGATCATGTCTTTCATTTGAGTATAATTTATTTTTGTGATTATTAAGACAAGCATCGTTGTCCTACTGAGTTGCATTAAATGAAAACAAAGCGATTATACTCCCTGTAAAATATCTTGCAAATGTTCTTTCATCATATTTCAGGTTTTCTTACTACTGCATGTTCGTTTCTTCAAAGTAAGAAAAACTATTTAAAAAGGGATTACGTACAGTAACAATGCTTACCGATCGTTCGTCCTTACCCCCACCAGCACCTCCTCGAGCTCAGTTCCAATTAGGGCACAACCTACGAGTAAAAAAAGCAAAGAACCTGTGCTTAGTGAAGCATTAGGTGCAGAAACGGAGGAAACTTGCCGCAAACACCTGAACCACCTAAAAAAGAAGATGGACAAACCAAGAAACAGAAACTTGACGCTAATCCGAGAGTTGATGGATCCAACCTACATCTTCCGTAGGCAAAATATCCTTACAAGTCCAACAACTTTAACAGTGTTAATGGCACAGTATCCAGCTTTGAGGATGGTTTCCGAGGTATCACGGTTGGCATTATTTCTTCAGAAACGTCCAGTTCGTTTTTGCTGTACAAGAAATTCTTCAATTTTCATTCCTCTTCTACGATATTTTGCATCTACATAGAACATATCATTTCTAACAATCTGATGTTTTTTGTTTTTGAAATTGTTACATTTTTGGCGGGAAAATAATACGACAAAATTGGCGCCAAAAATTTATATAATAGATACAGCTGATTTTCGGTATGGACCTGAAAGAGTATACTGTAAGAACCTCAAATCTGAAGTCCGTTTTAAATTATGACTATTCATTACGAAGTTATATCAATTCAAAACACAAGAAATCCGCCATTTTGTTCTATTTTTAGAAACAAAATGGCGAATTTTCGAAATTCAACTAGCTATATCTTCGCCATGAATTGGGCCATTACAAAACAGACTTCACATTTGAGGTTCTTACAGTATGCTCTTTCAGATTTATTCAGAAGAAAACCGATATCTATTATATAAATTTTTGGCGCCAATTTCGTCACGTTATTTTCCTGCCAAAAATGTAACAATTTCAAAAACAAAAAACATCAGATTGTTACAAATGATATTTTCTATGTAAAGGCCAAATATCGTAGAAGAAGACTAAAAATTGAAGAATTTCTTGTACAGCGAAAACGAACTGGACGTTTCTGAAGAAAAAATGCCAAGCGTGTATGTACAGTTTTAAGACTATTTCATGTATAGATGGTCTAATTAATACTTCAGTCAATTGACACTGTGCAACTCCCCCGCCCCCTATTCACGAAGTGTTAAAAACCTTATCAATTTCCTCATCCCTGGGGATTAGGGAAAGTAATCTGTAAAAACCCCTGTAAAACTCATGTCATAAACAGCAAGAGTATATAAAGACTCGATTTACTAATCAATTTACTCAATGTTCCATGGCAATAGCAGCCGTGCCGAAAAGCGCTCACTTACAGTAACTTACACAATGCCAACATGCAGTTTTGCTAAGCTGCAGATAACTTCTCTTCACTTCAGAATTCTGTCAATCTGTTATGTTTGTTGCTACAAGCTTGCACCTGCAACTAAAATAATCTACATTTAAAATTAACAGCATGGACATTTGCAGTATTACCTGCTTACTAATTATCTTTCCTTTTAATGTTTTGATGTAGCTTAAAGTGCCACTAACCCCCTAAATTTTCTTTTCATAAAATCAATAACCGCTATTTATGGAGTACAAAAATGAAAAATGTTTTTTAATCGGTTGAATTCTCGCTATTCTATGGCTTCTCAAAGTTTGAAAAATTGCCCTAAAATCGACGCCATTTTGTCCCACGAGCGAGCGCCGATGATCTGGGCTTGTGACGTCAATTGGTGAACCGGCTGTTGTGTCAACACAAGTGTTTACAGTGCTAGGCGAGTTTGTTAGGCATGCGAACGGCGAGAAAATGCCGAAAAGATGCGTTGTTGCCGGTTGTAACAACATAGGAGATAAGGAAAAAGAAATATTGTTGCATGCAATTTCTTATTCGGGGGACGAACGGCCCGAAGCGGAAAAAACCCGAAAGAAATGGACTGACTTCGTAATATAAAGCCTCAAACGTGCAAAATGGACGCCGACGTCGTATTCAGTCATATGCTCTGAGCATTTCAAGCCCGAGGATTTTTTGCGACGGTTTTCCCATGTCGAAGGTGAAAGCTTCGTTGGCAACAGATGGCTCAAAAGGGACGAGATCGGAATTTGTGTGTTCCCAACAATCATGCCATCAGCTGACGCACAGAAAGTTTCAGACAGATACAAGAGAATGGTATGCTAATTTTGTATTTTATACATAATTGTGCGTAACTTGAATTTGTTTGACTAAACTGATTTAATTAATAAACATATCATTATATAACATGCTAACACTTAAACTGATATACAGTAATTGGGTAAAGCATATAAGAAAGACAATTTCGTTTAGTCTGTGAGAGCTTTCTTTGTCATTTCTGTCTTCAGCCTTGCAGATTTTTGTAATTTCCGTGTGCAATTTGATACAGTATTATACAGTGATATAATTCTCCATCTATGTCTCTTGCTATGCCTATGTTTTAGTGAAGTCAATATGCCCACTGACTATGACCCATAGGTGTGTATTTAAGGATGTCTGAGGAGGGTATCATATTTGACTGTCAAAATAATTATAGTGAAATATTGATCAATGCATACCATGTACCCATGTATATATATATATCCATGTTTGATTTGTACAGATTATGTCGAAGAAATATTTCAAACTTTTCTCAATGTTACCAAAGATGATCTTAAAAAGGCAGCCAAGCAACTCAAAGAGTATGGTGTCTTTGCAAAGTGTTGCCCACTGCCTATGGCCCATAGATAAGTTACCCAGTATGCTTGCTGTTAATATAAATCTTTTTGTTACTGTAGTTTCACTACTACGTTGTTGAACAGAACCAAAAGAAGTCTAAAGCAGCACCAAAACGCAGGGCATGTGAACAACCACAGGAACAACCCTTGAAAGGACACAAGTTTGACTGTCCAAGGAATGAAAGGAGCACATCATAGTGTATTGTATGGATAAGGCATTTGAGGAAGGAGGGCATATTGGGAGGTGGTTTTTTTTCAGAAGGGCATATTAGGATTATTCAGGATGTTGGGGATTTATAATAGAGATTGGGGCTTATATTACAGCAGGAAGGGTCTTAACAGAGGGGAAATATTTGGGTGGTGCTTATTAGGGATGGAGCTTACTAGGGAGGGTGGTGCTTATTAGGAGAGGACTCAATAGAGTGGGTACTTTATAAGGAGGGTAGTGCTTATTAGGGGGGGGCTAATAGAGAGGGTGTTTATTGGGAGGGTGGTGATTATTGTGGAAGGGGCTTAATAGGGAGGGGGCTTAATAGGGAGGGGGTGCTTTATAGGCAGGGTGGTGATATTTGTTAAATAAATTATATTATGCACTACTTGTATCAAGTTTGCTCTACTTTACTTGTTTTCTATCCCTGATGAGCACTAGGCAAAACTGATTTATGTTGATATCAAATATGTTCCATATAGGTTTCATTAGGTACAAAAGAACCAGTTAGACTAGAATTCCAAAACAGCTTCTTATTTTATCGAAGAAGCAAAAATTTAAACATCAATTAAAGAAAATAAGCTCTTTATAACGTAATGGAAACACTGTTATTTTGTAAACATCTACGGTAGGTTCTTATACGATGGGTTTTACTGTATGTTAGCTTAGTCATTAATTTATTCAAATAATTTATCCTTCTCCATTTCGAATCTGGTAAATGATTCATCTTTTGTGAGAGGGAATGTCTTCCTTATTGCATGGTATGCACATGCAGCAGTGGGATTCTTGTTTTTCCAATTACACCATACACCATCCTTGTAAACTTTCTGTATGCCACACTATGTAAAAACCTAGAAGAAATGAACAACTTTATCATAAGTAATCGTATGCAGACAAATGCAAAAACTATTTCAATAAAATAGTATTTTATATTACAAAGAACAACCCAAACTATAATAGCTATATATAGAAACTATACATACATATAGTTCCTGATTTTGGTTACACCAACATTCATTTTTGAGATGTTGATGCTTATTGGAGACACTGGTCATGGAACAGTGTGTACCCCCATAAATATATCCCTGAAAGAGGATAAAGCTCTATACGTTGAACAGTCTGTTTAGTCTTTACATTTTTACACAAATTTTGGAAACAATAGA